TGATACAGCCAAAAATCAGCTAATTATCATGCAAATTAGGTAATTAATATGCATGGATTTTTACAAAAACCTAATCAAATCTGCGCATTGGCCCAGAGCATCTATGCACCAAGTTTCATCAAAAACTGATGTATGGTTCTTGAGATATCAGTGGAACAGACGGACACACATACACACATACAGACACACTAACTGCAAAGACTCCCTTTTTGTGCTTCGCACACGGGAGTCAAAAATAAAGGAAAAATCAAAGAAAGCTTAGAAAGAACTCCTGTGTGCTGAGAGTATTGGAGACAATTTAAAATTAATTAAAATTTAAGATTTGCTTTTCAAACGAGGAGCTTGGCAACTAGTATATGTCTGCTATTTGAGATGCATAACATGAAAAAAATACATTTGATTTTTTATTCATGGTTTTGAGTCTAATTTATTCCAGAACACCTCTGCGATGAATTCAATTTAAATCTGATTTTGTTAGTTATCAGAAATGGGCTAATAATAGATAATCAATATGCATGTTTATCAACATTAAAATAATCATGTCTGTGGATTACCTCAATGAATCTAATGAGTTATTTATACAAATAAAGCAATTATTATGCATAGATTTAGGTCTGTATATTGTTTTAGAGCGCACATGTACACAGTTTCAATATAATGTGATGATTAATCCTAACTAAATTAGTGGAAAGCAGAAAAGTAAATTATTATGCAAATTAGGTAATTATTATAGATGTATATAAACTTAAAACTAATTTGATCATCACACTGTGTTAAAGTACATATGTACCAAGCTTCATTGAATTAAGATAAGTACTGTCACAGACCATCTATGCATGAAGTTTCATTGAAATGTGATTAGAACCCAAAATTATGATTTATTATGCAAATATTAGGCAATTAATATGATTTTAATTTAAAACTGAGTGGGTCTATGCATTGTTCTGGAGCATCAATATACCAAGATTCATCGAAATGGAATAATTAGTACATGTGATATCAGTGTAAAAGCCAAAAATTAACTAATTATGCAAATTAATTGATTAATATGTACACATTTTTACTTAAAATTAATCAGGTCTTTGGATTGCTCTAGAGCATCTATGTAACAAGTTTCATTGAAAAGTAATGAAGTAATAGTACTATCAAAAGCTGAAAATTAATATTTCACATATCAGTCTGTGCATCGTCCTATGTATCTACATGTATTTAAGTTTCACTGAAATGTGATGATTAGTGCCTGAGATATCAGTGGAAAAGCCGAAAATTAACTAATCATTATGCTAATTAGGTTAATTATATGCATTGATTTTTAGCCAAAACTAATCACATCTGTGCATTAGTCCGGAGCATATATGTACCAAGTTTCATCAAAATCCAATGAGTGGTTCTTTAGATATCAGTGGAACAGTCAA